TTTGAGTCAAAGAAATAACAATTTGTGACCTCTGTTTTGGGGTCTGGCTAGGTGAAGTGTCTTTCCAGGAGAGCACAGACTGTTTTACCCTGACTCTGTGTTCCTTGCCATGGTGTCACATGCCTGAGGGGCAGATCCTCCTGCTGTTCCTTAGGATTACTTTGGACTAGGAACTTCTTAAGACTTGTTCTGTTATCCTTTGCTAGTGAAACAGGAAGCTGCAAGCTAAGTTTTTGAGGCTTTGATGACAAAGGCATCCTCACAGCATGGACAAAATAGACATAATAGTTATTGAGATTTTGCTTATGTCTGTTTTTGGCTGCAATTTAATATAGCAGTTCTAAGGAGTTTTCACAAATCCCTCTGGAATCCTGTCCATGGGATGAAGTTTTGGCAATCCCTGGTGGGCTGTAGTGCCACAGGTGCAGTTGAGTGAGTTTGTGTGGAATTTGGTTACCTTGAGCAGGCAGATTGGGGCTGTTCCTGCAGCTCATGTGCATTTCCCTTCCCTTCTCATCCTGCTCACAAACTTCCCCTTGTTGTTCCTGGATAGATTTAGATAATTCCAATTACTTCTCCTTTAAAATCCCATCGTTAAACGATTTTTAACAGAGTAGTTTCACCAAAAAGAGTTCCTGAGGGGAAGTTTGATTTTTCCTCCCAAGCACTGGAGGGATTGCCTGCCAGGGCAGCTATGGTGTGACACCGAGTGCCATCTGCTGCTCAGCACACGAAGTTCAGTTAGCTGTGGAAGAATTGGGAGGGAAATGAGCTGGTTTGGGCTTTGTCTAAACCTTTTCTAGCCAGGAGTGGAGTGGGAAGGCAGCTGTTCCGTGGAGGTGTGTGCACACCCAGCTAACCACGACTGTGTTGGTGCTCCCCAAACATTTGATGTTGCAGCATTCCAGGTGTCCAGTCAGGTACAGCCAGATCCACACTAACCAGACAGTGATGCTCCAGGGTGTCCAACAGATCTGTCTGGTGGAAAAGAACTGAAAATTCTGTGTGGGTTTGTTTCTGTGCAATAAATTGATTTTGATGGACAGTCAAGTCTATTAAAACCAACAAAGTCTCCTTAATTAAGGCCTTTGCAACCCAAACCTTAATGGCCATCACAAGAAACAGCAGGTACAGTTAGTGCTGTGTCTGTGTGGAAAGGTTAACAGATAAGTACATTCTTTATGACTTAGAGTTGGGGATTTTGTTCATCCTGAAGATCACGAAGAATTCATGTCAAACATTGCTGCCTGACCAGAGGTTGCTCAAGAGCAGCTCTTAGATTGATGCTGAGGAGGCTTTAGGGAATTAATGACACCAGAACCACTGTCAAGCTTCAGAGCTTCCATGTAATAAACTGAATTAAAAGGAACACTTGTTCCTGTGGTGGTTTTTTTTTTTTCCTAGTTGTTGAGGATTAGAACTTCCTCAGTAACATAATGTACTGAAAAAACATAATTAAATTGTTGCTACTCAGACACTCTGTGATTGCTGCCTCAGTTGAAGTGTCCTGTGGGTGATTAATCCGAGCTGTGCTGACCTGTTTGCACTGAGCTGGTGGCAGATCTTGCATCCCTGAGATGTGACTCTTTAGCTGATGAACAGAGCTCAGCATACAGAAGTGAGTTAGCTGATGAAAAAAGCTGAAGATTCCACGTACTGAGTCCCTCAGGAAATAATAAAAGGTGATTTTTTGGCAAAAAACCTGCAGTATAGGGATATATACTGGTGAGTCTGTGTTGATACTGCTCTGGATTTGGTGTATCAGTTGTATTCCCAGTCAAGAACTGGTTCTTACATATTGTATTGCATCAGATATTCTGAGATTATTTTTTATAAAGTTTTTATGGCTTCAATTTCATAGTTACCTGTAAAATGTATGGTTTTTATGACTTGATTAAAATATTTCTGTCAGAAGTTGTTGAAATGTGACCCTGCACTTGGAATGAAGGTGTGAGATACCTCAGGTAACTGGAAATGTTTTGCTTGTGTGGAAGTTGAGGTTCTCCTCTAGGCAGTGATGAAATGGAGAGCTGAAGTACAGTGGTTCTACTGACTCCAACGTTCATTGTTTTTCTGTACCTGTTTTCTGTAAAACATGAAATAAACTACAAGTTGAGATGTTTTTAGCTCCAGTGTGTATGACTCAAATCTGTTTTGCATCTCTTGCCACTTCTGTGCTGTGTATTGGAATAATAGTCTGAAACTTTCCTGTTGATGATCTGATTTCCTTGTCCTTGTTTTAATGAGCCCTCTGAGTTGTAGGATGATGCATTTAGGATTCTACCTAAGAGGTTTGTGGTGGTGAGTACAGGAGACAGAGCTCTGGTGCCTCAGTGTAAGAGACAGGGAAAAATAAAGCCTTGAGTTCCCACCCTGTATTGCTAAGCATCCCAAATTTCAGTACTGTTTCCTTTCTGCTTTCTCAGTGGGGGGGCAAAGCAATAATGTTGTCTTTCAAATAACATTAAACTCTCTAAATCTCTTTCATTGCAGCATCCCCTTCACTATTCAGCGACTCTGTGAGTTGCTGACAGATCCTAGGAGGAATTACACAGGAACAGACAAATTTCTAAGAGGAGTGGAAAAGGTATGTGTTTTTCTGAGGGAGAACTCAACTAGACAGTCACAACTACTGCTGAAATAACTCCTGAATGGCTCCCAGAGGTCTCTTGGCTCACCATGGCTCATAGCCAGAGTACAGCTAATAGCTCCTCTGAGTGTGTGGGTTTGTTTCGTACCTTTCAGCATCAAAAAGCAGTTTGGAAATCACTTAAGAGATAAAAATAAATGTCAGGGCTGCAACTGTGTTGTGTTTGCTAATCACTGTGCAGTACTCCAGTTGCAGTTTGGGGAAGGTATGTTGTCCCTTTTTATATTGAGGCCTAGTTAGAAATAATCAGCTGAAATAATCAGAGTTTTTTGGTCAGACATCTCCTTCCACATTTGGGTTCAGAGCAGATCCAGAGGTGAAGATGTTTCAGCATTTAAACCCCAAGGGGTAGCAGACTGTGCCCTCAGAAAAGCTAACAGATGTTTTAAATGGGTTTGTACAGGTTATGGCAGAATGTGCTAAGTAGGTAATGAACTTCTAGGATGTAATTCCACATAGGATTTTTAGCATTTCTGAATACTTTGCTCTCCAAAGATCCCTCACTTAGAAATTACACACCCCTGGGCCCATGTCTGAGATATACCTACCTACCTATCTTTCTCATATATATGATGATGTGTGTTATCATCTGTAATGTTCTGGTCTCATTAGGACAGTAACACACTTGATAAAATACTGAATTTTAGTGTCATTATGGCCTAACCTTGTCAGAGATACAGTGTCATTATGGCCTAACCTTGTCAGAGGGAGCAGAGATACCATGACAGATATGACCCAAATCCTCTAACCCCTTCAGTTTTTGTGTGTGATCAAGATCTGAAGCTTCTGTTTCTCAACTCTTACTGTGTTTGTTTGTGTGTTACAGAATGTCATGGTTGTCAGCTGTGTGTATCCATCCTCAGAGTGAGTATAACCTTCTTTTCCATGCAACTTTTAGTGTGTTTTAGTAATGGGGAGAGTGTGTTCGTGTGTGTGGCTAAGGTGTTTCTGGCAGTGGCTGTACCTAAGCCAAGCAGAGCTCAGATTGGGAGTGAAGTCAGTAGGG